ATTCGGTTGGTAAGTTGGTACAGATATCGCCTGAGTAGTCTATAACTAACTCAGCCCAGAACTTCTTCGACACTGTCTTTTTACATGCCACTATTTTACGTCCTTGTTTGTAGACGAGTTCATCTGCAAGAGGGGTAGTAGGTTCCCACACAACACTTTCCTTAGTTCGTACGACTGTTACGCCCTGCAACTACCTCAGAAATAATGAACTATTCCGTTTTGATCGCATGAAAACACAAGAGACATAACAGAAACGCTACTTGTTTTCAGTGAAAAAAAGAAAGAAGTGATTAACCTCTCCTGCTAATAACTCATAAATAATGGACTATTCCGATTTGATCGCATGGGAATATAAAAGACATCAATGACGCCACTTGCTTTTACTCAGAAAATGAAAGAAAGAATGGACGGTAGAAGTGTTTAACGTCTGCTTCAGTGAAATGGAAAAACTATCAAATTAAAATATTTTTATTTGTATCTCCTTATTTCTTAAAAAATCTACCAGTATTCAAATTTATGATTTGTTATGGCAATATTTTGTTAAAAGTTTCTAAGTTTAACTATTTAACGATGCGAAAGTGGAATTTCTACCGAGGATTTATTTTCGTAGAACTCGTTATGATTATATTCAGTCATTAACTGAAGAATTAAGATTTATCAGAAATTTCAAATAGGAAAATCGTGGAATTTTTGTTGGTTAAAACTAGTATATATACCGTAATTCCATTTGTACGATACGCATTTTTCTAAAACATAATAAGCAAAATCAAGAATGCGTATTATGCACAGCTACAAAAAATCTTTTAAAAATTTCCATAAAATAAGGATTATCATAAAACTAAATTAGAATAATATTATTCTATGTTTAAAACATTTTTAAAAAAATAAGAGTAGGAAACGCTGGCCGTAATGAAATTGGAGAGGTACAATTTATAGGGTTTGATTACCAAACAAGGAGTGCGTATTATGCATGAGTAGAAGCATTTTCCCACATTTTCAGCACAATTTTAGGTGTGCGTATTATACATGGGGAATTACGGTAATACAGACAGCTGCTAATGAATTAAAAGATGCGGGGTCGGTATATTTACGAAACTTCAAGTGGGAAGATATGTCACTTTAAGTATTATCTCTCACTCTTTTTTCTCCCTCTCTTTCTATATGAATATATATATATATATATAACTCAGACACTCCGTCTCATATATATATATATATATATATATATATATATATATCTGTGTGAGTAAAACTTATATATATATATATTGTCATCTACAGACTGTTTCGCTCATCAGTGTGGCTAAACGTCCGGTTGCCTCTAGCTAGGATCGAAACCCGACTGAAAGGGTGCTCTACCTCTAAGCCTTTTGCGCACAGCATGGATGAAAGTGAATTTAATCGTATTTATTTTTAGATAAACACACAGTGACTGAGAGAACTCGATTCGATTTACCGAAGAGTCTTACATTATTAGCCGTAATAGTATATATATATATATATATATATGAAGAAAAATATACGGAAAAACAAACAAAAATCCTTATATACAATTATGCTGTTTTAATGTTAATATGTCAACGTCGGACGTTTCGGTCTAATAAACCATCTTCAGGACATATTCATAAAATATAATTAACATTATCAATTCAAGATGACAAAGACGATGTACATAAGAACAAGACTTATCCAACAGGTTTTTCCGTATATTTTTCTTCATACTGTCGGGTCTATATCCATATATTTGCTTGCATATATATATATATATATATATATATATATATATATATATATATATATATTGCTTTAAACGTTATTCTTAGTGGAAACATGTATTTGAGTAGAAATACCATTTATTTTTATTTAAACAATATTTATTTCGTCTATCGGTCTGCATACTCTAAAAAGCTTAATAAAGAAAATGTGACCTCCGGCAGGATTCGAATTTACTACTCCCTTTGCTAGAGAAACATAAAAAAATCAATTTGTAAAGAATTAATGAATGTCATTTTTAATCCGATATATAATAACAATGATTTTTCCAAATACTTAAAATCCTACTCTTTAGCCTATAGCTGACAGGAGCAGATGGATTCATATATTTCTCATGTGTATTAACGAAACCGATAGTAATTCGAACTCGGCTCTCCTCATTCGGAGCCGCTATTACACTTTTTGCATATTCATAAGAAAATACGCTACGATAAGGAAGAATTACCTTGAATAATTTGAATAATGCCAAATAATGTCTCGGCTAAAAATATTTTGCTAAAAATAACAAGAATGAAGAGTCTAGTCCGTATAATTTATTGAATAATAAAACACGAAAAATATATATGCATGTTATTCCATTATTTCCAATTGCAAATCTTCACTTCTCTGATATTTTAAAATTAAATTCTCCCATTCACTAAACATAAAAAAACATTTTTGAAGAAAATTCCTTTGAATCACGTACCATAGTTATTGGCCTTCAAAAGATCTTATGACCCTATGTTTAAGAGAGACGTATATCCAATGTTCCAACACATCATTAGGTCATATTCATCGGCATACAGTCGGTTTCTTTACAGCTAAACACAAACTTAACCAAAATACATATTCATTTTTCTAAAAAAAATATACCAATCTACCCACAAACTAAATATGTATCTTCGAAAAAGAAATATGATCTCTGCCAACAGTAAATACCTATTAGTACAATAAAGATTAGACTATTTTCAAGATATATATAACAAATGATAAAAGTGACACAAATACTCTTTGTAATAGTGTTGATGGTCTGACTGGTGTCAGTTCAACCTACTTCTCTCAATCCTTATTCTGATGTTAAGATATATTGCGTAAAATACACAATTGTGGCACAAGGCAGAAAGGTGGGGGAATGGGGTTGAAGATAGTCGTCACTTACTATTCTATAACTAGCTAACATCCTTATTCTGATGTTTGATGATTAAAAATACTGAATTTGGGAAGTGAGGCGCTGCCTCGTAGTATACTGCAAAAGTTTTTTAGCATTGTTTAAAAAAAACAACTTTAAAATTATGGTATAGTTGTACAGTTACAATAAGTATTGTAATTGGCTTTTTACGAATTTCCACCAAGTATTTGTTTAATTGACATTTATCAGAAACAAAAACTCCGTCTTGATTCAAAAATATTTCAATATATTGAAATATTGAGAGCTTCTTGACAATTTTGGAGAGTACAGGTCCAACCAATAAGTGGTATTATGTAATCCATTAATACAGAAGAGATAGATATCTCTGCACATGCTTTAGAGTTGCTAGAAACCAATTCGCGGTTTATTCTGATTAAATTAATGTGAACTAAACTTGTATTTACCATTTTAATTCTAATGTAAACTACGAACAGCATCTAATTCTAACTTCTTTTTTTTTTTTTTGTTGTTGCTATAGCGTAAATGGAACCTATGTTCACTTTTTGGTCCCCAGTGTAAATCGGACTTATATCTACTATTTTGGCGCTAGTGCAAAGTGGACCTATGTCTATCTTTATTCTTTAGTGTCACCTTGAACTGTGTGTATATGCTAACTCTAGTGTAAACCGGACCTATATATAACTTTTTAACTCTCGAAAAAATCGAACCTGTTTCTACCTTTTTGATTCTAGTGGAAAACCGGACCTATGTCTACGTTTTTAACAAACTAGTGCAAACTGGACCTATGCTTAAACTTTTCGAACTAATACAAACTGGACCTATGCTTAAACTTTCCGGACTAATGCAAACTGGACCTATGCTTAAACTTTTCGGACTAATGCAAACTGGACCTATGCTTAAACTTTTCGAACTAATGCAAACTGGACCTATGCTTAAACTTTCCGGACTAATGCAAACTGGACCTATGCTTAAACTTTTCGAACTAATGCAAACTGGACCTATGCTTAAACTTTTCGAACTAATGCAAACTGGACCTATGCTTAAACTTTTCGAACTAATGCAAACTGGACCTATGCTTAAACTTTTCGAACTAATGCAAACTGGACCTATGCTTAAACTTTTCGAACTAATGCAAACTGTACCTATGTCTACATTTTTGACTCTAGTAAAAACTGGACCTTTGCCTAACTTTGTGATGCAAAACCGGGCCTAAACATACCGTTTTAATCTAGTGTAATCTAGTGTTATCCGACGCATGTCTTTTTATTAAGATTTATTGCGTAAAATACACAATTTTGGCACAATGCCGAAAAGTGGGGGAATGGGGTTGAGGTTGGTCGTCACTTACTATTTTATACCTAGCTAATCTGATTCACGATCCATTCATTCGTTACAATTGACACATTCACCACAAAAACTCATCCATCACCAATCAACCTTCCATATACCATAATACTGCATACTCTCAGGGAAGAACCTAAAAAAACGCACCCCATGACATAAATATTTCATTTCATGATTATAAAGTATTATATATAAAATTTTGTACATGATATAAAAGGAGAAGGAAGGGGGTGAACCGAAAAGATTAAACTAAAATATCAAAACAAATTACGGATGTTTGTTGAACCCGTCCAGTCCTTAAAAAAGAAAGGCCGCTGTATTCTGCCCTGTGACAGAATCAAGGGGCTCTCTTGCTAAGAGAGAGGGAAAGAAGAAAATATATACGGACTTCTTTTACTGTTGTTTAAATTGGAAAAATGTCTACCTAGTGTAAAACAGATCTATGTCTAACTTTTTGACACGTATTAAATGCCAACCTTTTCTTACTCAAGTGTGAACCGGATCTATTGCTACCTTTTTTATTCTATTTAAAACCGGTTCTATGTCTAGCGTTTTGACACGAGTTTAACATCTACCTTTTTTTAATCAAGTTTAAGCCTTGAACTCTCTCTACGTTTTAACACTAGTGGAATCCCGGCTTATGTCTACCTGTCTATTAATTCATTCTGATTTTATCCTATCAACATATTCTCAATATTTCTTTGGCCAAATGAATAATGATATATCATTAAAATAATTAAGATTTTGTATGTACCTCAAAAGGATTGTAATCATCTGGAAGCTTTTGAAGCATGTCATCTGCTTGCCGATAGACAATACTTTCCCTTGTTTCTCCAGTTCCTCCCCCTGCATCCTTTGGCTGAATATTCACCATTGTTGACAACATTCCGTTGGCTGTGTTGGTTTGGTACCTACAAGAACATCAGAGGCAGTTTAGGGAATAATTAATTTCATCATACTAGCTTCCATATTCTATTGAGATCGTTCGTACAGCAACAGCACTTCTGGAAAAGGCCCCGAAACAAGTTAATGATTCCAGTCGACAAAAAGTAATGACATGCTTATTATTCAAGATAGTGAAAACATGTTTGAAATTTTTAAACATATAATTTGTTCGAATTTGTATTTGTGTTACACGAACTAAACCCTGAGTAGAGATATTTGGTTCTGCTCAGACTGTTCATGCAGTAAAAGCACATCTGCAAAAAGCCCCGAATTCCGGATTCCAAATGACAAATGTAAACAAGACTTAAGTGTAACCTTACTAAAGATGGCGAACACAGAAAATTATTTCGAAATTTTAGTAGAAAGTAATATTTTTTTTCAAATTTCCTTCAGGAAGCGAATTTTTGAACATTTTGTAGAATTTGGGAACATTTTGTAGATTCCAAAATTCGCTTGAAGATGAAACAGAACTAATGCTTTTAATTTAATTATATAATTAAATTTGAAGTCTTTAGATTCGGTTTTTGAAACATGGTAATTCCTGTGTAGCGAAGGGACCATATTTTTAATCAGTTAATTTATAATATTTATGCTCTGTAAATTTACATTGAGCACTGTTTTGTAAAAATAAAAATATCTATAAGAACACCGGATCATATATCTTACTGTTCTTTTTTTTTACTTTAATATACATATATATGTATATACACACACAAAATATATATATATATATATATATATATATATATATATATATGTATGTATGTATTGTAGATCATAAAATGTATTGTTGGTAATTTTAGTATTGTTATATACCGTACCTATGAACACTAATGTGTATGTCCCAATCCTCATAAACACGTTGGACACTGTTTTAAATAAGGGTAATCTTAATGCTGTCTATGTAGTCCACCACTTGTAGTGGTTTACCTACTTCACGCCGCTGGCGAGTATTGTATTTTGTTGGTGGTTACCATTTCATTTCAAACCCACCGTTTTGGTTATTCCTCGTTCATTAAACTTTTCTAGGTTACAAAAAGTATATAAATGTATTTTTTATATTTTTTTTATTATTGCATTGATTGGCATTTTGCTATAGAATGTATTGTTGGCCATTTTATTATGAAAATGTATTGTTGATTATTGTTTGGGGGTTCACTATTTGCCCATAGCTGGGACCCTAACAGGTGCTACCACCCCGGGTCGGGGTGGACCTGGGAACAACAGCAATTAAGAGGTAGTTCCATGTGTTGTTCATAATGACGGTCGTCTTCGAGTATAGAATCCAGAGGTTAGCAGTGAATATTTCGAAGACAGTAGGAAAGGCTGTTGTTCAGGTTAGCAGTGGATATTTTGGTAAAAGGTAGCAGAGCGTAGTTCGTCTTTCTGTTTCTCTTCGCCTGACAAACTGGACTGGACATTCGGGTAGAGTGAACAAAAATGGCCGCCTTTATACACGACGGATTGAATGTTCTACGTCTTCTGATTGGTTAACCTTCTATTGGTGGACTATAAAGTGAGTCAAGGCATTTTGACTAACTAACTAGTACATATATATACACAAAAAACTGCAACACCATACTCCTCAAAACCTCCCGATTAAAGACATTGCTTCCAGATGTAGTTTAGCACCAAACCCTGGACAATTTTATCGGCTACCTAGTTAATAAATTATTATATAATTAAACCAGTTTAAAATGCGCGTCCTAAAAATTGATGAAATAGAAAATCGTTCCTTTAGCATAAGTTAAAATAAGGGCATAACGGAAGGTTTTATTTTGAAAAATCTAATTCCAAGGACGATATAAAAAATGTTTCATGTTTATCCTACGTGGACGTAAGGGCAAAATTCTAATTGCAATGGTGAAAATGGCCGTTTCCATGCTGAAAACATTCAGCATTCGGTGACCGAAGTAAGTCAGCATTACTGTGGGTTTTATTTTCCTAAAATATTTTTTCAAGAAATTAATTTTTCAAATCCTCGAATTATTATCTCTGTTTCTAATATAGTGGCATTTTCTAGTATGGATTTTATTTCATAACCGTCTAGTTACAAGTGCTATCCATTGTAATTGTTGCTGCTTTTGGAAGTCTTCAGGTGACAGACAGCAGCAATAAAGTAGGAACTAGTCCGAGTTATTAAAGTTATTAAATTCCTGTGTATGCAACTTACGTGATGTCAGCATTTGGATGCAAACCAAAACATTCAGGGGTATCATGTGATGGTAATTCCTCAATTGCAGAAAGATACTGAGAGACAGTCTTGCAACGAGGAATTTTATAATCTGTAAAAGAGAATTTAGCGTATAAAATACTAAAAGAAACATTCTTTTATACATCAGATTCAATATGATAATTCTTAAACATAAAATACTTGAAACAAACAGTTTGTCTATATTTCTGAGATGAGGTATTATGTACAGTATTTACATTAGTCGGACTATTGTCCTCATCTTTGTCGCCATTGTCTCGGCCGTTGTACGCTCCGGCCTTCTTCAGGTGGTTGGAATTTCGAACTGAACCCTTTATTTCGATCACTGGGGTAGACTGTTCTAGTTCCACGTGCCATGTTTGATGGATGTCAGTTATCAGTTATCTCCTGCTAATTTTCCCTCTGAAAGTTCTCCACTGCCTTAACCAGGAATTGAACTTACCTGAATGACCCTCCGCAGGCTTTGAATATATATATATATATATATATATATATATATATATATATATATATATATATATATATATATATATGTGTGTGTGTGTGCGTGCGTGTGTGTGTGTGTGTGTGTGTGTGTGTGTGTGTGTGTGTGTGTGTGTGTGTGTGTGTACTTATATATCTTCACTCGGCTATTATTTTGTTTTCTTATTTAGTTTAGTCGTATCATAAGTATTAATTGTAGAAGGTTAGATTCGTAATTAAATTTGTATTTACTATTTGAATTTATGTGCACATGTATTTATACGCTCATGCATGCGCACAAGTGCACATTCATGGATACACGTATATAGGTATACACATGTGCACATATATACATATAAACGTGCGTACATAGGCACATGTACACTTATGTCTGCGCTTTGTCGTTAATAAACTAGTGCTTAAATTATGAAGTTATATACTACTAGGAGGTGTGATGTAATATCAGCTTCAAAAACAAAACCAGAAAACCGTTCGACTATGACTACTTATATTCATTTAAAACTAATGTTCTTGCGAGAGGCATGAAACTACCTTCCCCTGTATTCTATATATGTTCTAAATGGCGATGAGCGGTAGTGTAATAGTTATATGAGTGAGAAAAAAAACGGGCCTGATTTTTAACTGAATCTGCTTGTGTTGAGAAGAGCATGAATCAAGCTTTCTCTGTATGCCACATATGTACTCAAAAGGAAGTGTGAAGTTGTGTAATAAATACCAATTTAAAAAAAAACCCCAAAAAACAGGGTTTGAATTTCTGCTGGAGTTCCATATGCTCACTTATCATTAGAATTCTTGGAAATGCATGAATCCACTTCTCCCTGCACAATATATATATATATATATATATATATATATATATATGAAGAAAAATATACGGAAAAAAAGAAACAAAAATCCAATGAATTCCACATGAAAAGACGATGGACATAAGAGTAAGACTAATCAAAACAGATAACTGAAATTGAATATAACTGAAATTGAATATAGTCTAATGTTAATTATGTTTTATGAATATGTCCTGAAGATGGTCTACTAGACCGAAACGTCCGACGTTGACATTATATTAACATTAAAACAGCATAATTGCATATTAGGATTTTTGTTTGTTTTTCCGTATATTTTTTTCATACTGTCGGATCTATATCCATATATTTGCTTACACACACACACACACACACACACACACACACACACACACACACACACATATATATATGTACTAAAGGGAAGTCTTAGGTTATGTTATAGTTATCAGCATGAAAAACAGAATCAGCAAACAAAACTTGAATTTCGGCTGAAGTAGATTACATTGCACTAATGCGCTTTGGAGGCATGAACCCACCACTACTTGAATTCTGTATATTTGCTTAATAAAATTTTTAACCACAGTAAACTTATCAGCATAAAAACAGATCAATAAGACGAGTTTGTATTTCGTCTGAGGCTGTTTTATTCCCTTAGAATTAATATCCAAGACAAAGGCATGAATCAATACCCCTGCCTGCTACCTCATCGTCAAGTATTATACCAAAGAATCCCTGCAATAATCCCAGTAATTGTTATTCAAGTGAGCACTCCCTACTTTCTCAAAGTACTTTATCCGACTTCAAATATTTCTCAGTGCCAAAAATCCTCCAAAATTAGACGACGAATCGATCAGATAAAAATACATAAAAAGTAGGAACGTTTTCTGTTAAAACAAATGTTTTCATGTTGATGTCTGTCATTTCTATAAATTATCAATTTTATCTCATATCAAAAGTGCACCATTTGATTAGAAATCTATTTGAAAATCTGTTAGGATTTCAAATTGCTAAAATTGTAAATATTATCATGACTCCATATATATAATTTATGACATCAGATTATTATCAGAAGGAACGGAAAAATGTAAAATATATTATAACTGCAACAAAGCGACACCAAATACTACATACATTTTATATATACATACACACACTAATATATATATATATATATATATATATATATATATATATATATATATATATATATATATATTCACACACATATATATATAAAGTCTAGGCACATATTCTCTCTCTCTCTCTCTCTCTCTCTCTCTCTCTCTATATATATATATATATATATATATATATATTTTAAGACATTTTATGTTTAACATTCCTATTATAGATACAAGTATTTAAGCAAATGCTCTGTTTATAATAAACAATATTAAATAACATTTACCGGCCTGAATGTCCGAGAAATCTTCATAGAAAATATTCGTCCTTCGACAGGATTCGAAACTGTATCCTATATGGAACCGTCATGTAGCCTGACATGCCTTACCGCTTGGCCACAACCAACCGAACGATCCTTTGTGGCCGAGCGGTAAGGCACGTAAGGCTATATGACGGCTCCGTATCTTGTATCTATAAAAAGAATGTTAAACATAAAAATGTCTTTAAATAATTGTCGGACTTTGTCCATTTAATAATATATATATATATATATATATATATATATATATATATATATATATATATATATATATATAATAAAAATATATGAAGAAAAACAAAAAAAAACAAAATCTCAATATGCAATTATGCTGAATTAATGTTAATATAAAGTCAACGTCGGACGTTTCGGTCTATTTTAGACCATCTTCAGGATATTTTCATTTAAACATAATTAACATTAGAACATATAAAAATTCAACACGAAAAGACGATGGACATAAGTGCACAACTAATCCAAACAGATAACTTCAAGCTTGTATGAAGATATAAGAACCTATTGATCTCTGCGTATTCCTATATCAACTGAAGGGATTTCTTGAACTGTTTATATAAAATAGTTCAATCGACTTTTTTTAATATTTTAATATTTGGAAATCATCTTCGAATACGTTTTTACAGCATCGAAGACATGATCATATTTAAACGGAACGCTGATCTTATATAAAAATTTCAGTTGTTTGGATTAGTTGTGCTCTTATGTCCATCGTCTTTTCATGTTGAAACGTCCGACGTTGACTTTATATTAACATTAATACAGCATAATTGCATATTAAGATTTTTTTTCTATATTTTTCTTCATACTGTCGGATCTATATCCATATATTTGCTTACATATATATATATATATATATATATGTATATAAATAAAAAGAAAGAACAGTAAGATATAAAATCCGGTGTTCTTATAGATATTTTATTTTTACAAAATAGTGCTCAATGTAAATTTACAGAGCATTAATATTATAAATTAATTGATTTAAAAATATGGTTATTTTCGCTACACAGTTCCAACCATTTTTTCAAACTATTTTTGAAACATGGTTTTGGAACTGTGTAGCGAAAATAACCATATTTTAAATCAATTAATTATAATATATATATATATATATATATATATATATATATATATATATATATATATATATATTCTAGGACACATAATGAGGATGCAGAAGGCTTGGAAAATCTCATACTCAAGATAAATAGAAGGTAAGCGGGACGGAGGAAAACAAAGCATAAATACTTGATGAGATTGAGTAAATGCATGGTGGAACAGGGCTTAGGAGAAATAACAGAAAGACAAAGTTTATTAAGAGCTACAAAGGGTAGGAAGTTGTGGAGAGTCGTGATCGCCTACGCCCTGAGAGTTAACGGCACAGAAAGAAGTGAAAAGCAGGAAACCTAAAAGTCCGAGTTTTATTTAAAGAAAAGAAAGACGCCTGTAGTGTGTAATACCTTTGTAGAAAGAAAAGCTTTCGGCAAACATCCCTTCTCCAAACCAAACCTCAGCATACGTGTTCAGCAAGCGTTTATCAAAATCATCCGTTACACGTCCGCCGTACTGCACTTCACCAATCATATACCGAACAGTCACCCAGCAGACACCCTGAAAAATAATAATGACGTCAAAGAATTAGCATATTGACAAAATCAAATATCTAACAATACATTGTCATAATTTTTTGGTGAGGAATTGTTGTCAATAGTAGCGCCCCTGAAAAGGAAACGGTACTGAACTGTTACGTAATACCAATCCTCTTATATGGCAGTAGATGCTAGACAATTTTCTCACAGATGAACAAAAGATTTGAGACAACAGAGATAGGTTTCTAGAGAAGGACGCAGAGAAAACCCATAGAAAAAGAGCATATGCGTAACAAAGAAGCGTTAGGGAAAATAGAACAGTCCTTTGTCCACTCTCAAGCTAGCTATACATGAGGATCTTAAGCATTCAGTCGTTATTTATCCTTGCAATTTTATCAGCCCAGCGAAGTTGTGACTGCGTCAGAAAAGTTCTACCAATGTTACATTTTGTGAGAATATCAAAAAAATTGTATTATTAGCCGACGCGTTTCTTCCAATATGGACTTTTTCAAAGCAAGAAACAAAATGAATTTATTAAAACAAAGTAACTATTAAAAAGAAAATGTCCTTAGCACCTGGAGAAATTTAGAAAAATCTATTGTATTCATATTGTCAACTGAAAATTACATCAAGTACTATCACGTGTGGAAATATTGTTTTTATTGTTGTTGATGGATTCAACTATTTTCTTTTGATTTCTAGATACATTTTGCTCAGCTTACATCTGAGAAATTTGTCATATATATATATATATATATATATATATATATATATATATATATATATATATATATATATATAATTGCACCATATATTAACGAGATTTTTATTTTGAATAATTATCATTTGTGTAATTCCTTTTTAATTTTTTACATTTTTATTGCAATAAAAATTTTGCATTTCGAATAATTATAATTTAGTATAATTGTCTTTTCGGTTAATTTTCATTCAAACAATTTACAGTGTTCACATAAACTGTGTTTCAGAAAATAAAAACAGGGAATAAAATACATCCTCGAGTAGAGTACAGCCATCCAGATGTCATTTTTCTTTGAAAAGTTGTACCATATTACCCATTAAAATTTCGATGCCGTACATATACTTCACTAAAATGTTTAACTTTTCCCGATATTAAAGAATGAATCAGAAGTTTAGCAATTGTGTGTTTCTTTGCCTAATTTCCAATTCAAAACGTTCCGGTTGCCTGATGATCGTGGTAGTGTGAAACTTTAGTAGAGATTCAAATCTTTATCTGAGTCATGATGTTGGGAAGAGTAATTGTTCTGTCTTGGTAATTTAAATATACAACACTTTATATTACTCTTTCGGTAGATGTTTGTCTTTTCGTCTTAGTTTATATTTTTTCCCCTTTTTCTTCTACATTTTTTTTTACTTGGTTTTTGGTTTATTGGTTGTTGGCCTTGTTTTTTTAGTAGTTTTTTTTTTTTTTTGGTTACCTGACAGATTTTGTGTTAGTTTTACCAATGCTTATGGTTTTTATACAAAATAATATTCATATAAAAACTCTAATCTTAAATGTAGATATGCAAATTGAAATGAACCAATTTCTTTTAAATCCAATTTAATAGGCTTATGGCAACATTTCATTCACAGAAATTCAAATATTCAAGTCATATTTATTTACTACTATTTTTTTCATGTTTTTTTTTTTGTTTTGCTCAATCATTGAGATAAAATTTTAAATCTGATAAAAAGTTTCCTTAAACTTATCATATACTGTATTTTCTTATGTACAATATGATTTTGTTTCTGAAGTTAAAAATGGGGAATAAATTGCATCTTTGAATAAAATACAACACAGTAGTACAGTCATTATGATGTAATTTTTTAAAAAATTCTCAATTCCAGACATATCTTTTACTAAAATATTTAAGAATTCAGAATATTAAAGAATTAAAATGAACCAGATGTTTAGCCATTGCATGATTCTTCTAATTTCCAATTCAAAATTTATTTTTGAATTTTCAGGAAAAGGTGCTAACTAGAAATACCTGGTAATATATTTTCAGGTGTTAATTAATTGATCATACTTTTCTCTTATATTTCTATATATTAATAAAGTATGGAATAAAAAAGAATATTATCATTCATTAAGACTGAAGAGACAAACAAATATTACTGACATATCAAATACCTTTTATAAAAAAAATGGTTATCAACATCTGCCTACATTGTATTTTATTATCTATTGTGCTGAGTGGTCCTAGAACAACTGCCCGACTGACAATTACCCGACGGACAGTCAGTCAGTCATGTGTCATAGGTGATCATGTATCTTTGGATACATGACTGACGAGGCAGATTTTTTCCCCGCAGTAGATAACCATTTCTATCTACGGTAGACCAGTTACCATACAAGGTGTTGTGGTACGATCCACCTAATTTACATAGTGGAGTACCGACCATATAAATATGGTTGGTACCGGGAAGACGGGGGAGGAAGAAGAGATCCAATCCAGAGACTCTGCCCGACTGCGACTAATGTCAACCCATTCTACAGGAACGGTCTTCCCAAGAATATACCAAACTACCTGTAATTATTGTGTACACGTTCTTGTGTCAATACATTTTGTTTAAGTACATTTTGTGTTGTATTATTATTATTCCATGCTTTATTCAAGTTTCAACACAAGGCTATAGAATCCGGTCTGTCCTGCTATTTACCCAAGTGAATGTAATGGATTCGACCGGAATTCGAACTCGGCTCTCCGATTCCTCAATCGGAGCCGCTATCCATTACTCCACCGCGGCTTCTCGCCCTGCCGACAACTGCCCGATACGGACAACTGTCCGATGTTTATATATATATGTAGAATATTTAGATATTTTTGATGTTATTCAAAAAGGAAAAGATAATAGCTAACCGTTCCATCCCCCTTTTCATGGAAAATGAAGACTCAGTGCTGACCTGAAGCTTACTATTTTGTCAGATACAAGATATTTTTGAGAATGAAGAATTATGCCGTTATTCTACAAGAGTTGGTTTACACTATTTACATTATTCGGACTATTGTCCTCATATTTCTCGGCATATTTATTACAACGTTTCAGCTGTTGTACACTCCGACCTTCTTCAGGTGGATGGAATGTTGAACTGAACCCTTTATTTTGCTCACTGGGGTAGACTGTTCTAGTTCCACATGCCATGTTTTTTAAGTGATGTCAGTTATCAGTTATCTCCTGTTAATTCCCCTCTCCAAGCTCTCCACTACCTTAACCAGGTATGGAACTCACACTCTTTGGGTCCTGTCACTAGATCTAACCAACGCCTTTTTCCACTGTGCCATGTATCAAACCACCTGAAGAAGGCCGAAACGTTGTAATAAATATGACGACAAAGATGAGGACAATAGTCCGAATAATGTAAATCGTGTACATAATACCTCATCTCAGAAATATAAACAGATACTGAAGAGTTGTTTTGTTTAATATAAAATCATTCTTCTTATTAGTTTCATTATTGCTTTTTTAATCAATATTTAAGATTATCATACTTATTATAAAACTCAGGTTGTGTGTGTGTGTGTGTGTGTGTGTGTGTGTCTGTACGTTTATATATTGGATCGGATTTCCTACATTTTTCAACCGATTTCAACAAAACTTAACAGGACTACGTAAAATTACCTTGCGGTGGTTCTGACGGCGCCAAAAATTAGAAAAAACACAATTTTTTTGCACAAAATCAATTTGAAAACACGATTAAGAGGCATCGCGAAAATGAAAGGGGGACAACTCATATCGATTTATACTTATTATAAAACCCAGGTTGTTTGTGTGTTCGTTTATATATGGGATCGGATTTCCTACATTTTTCAACCGATTTCAACAAAACTTCACTTTTTTTTTTTTTTTTAGTGTTTCTTATTGTCTTGCACACTTTTTTCTTTATTTTTGCATTCAGAATGCTTTAAAAATTCCATTTACAAGACAATTGTTTATAATAAAATTCTATTCAATCGGTAGACTCATAACGATTGAAAACAATGTTTTTGTTTGAGTTTGGGTTTGACCAATTCGTAAAAAAAACAAAAAATTTAAAAAAAAACAAAAAAAAATACTAATTAAGATATGCATGTCTGTCAACCTTAAACAATAATCTTTGTCAATTTTATTTTTCAGTCTTTATGATGGTCGATACTTGATCTATCTCTTACTGTTACATCCCCGGGTAACGCCGGGCTCTACTGCTAGTTATTACTATTTGCTTTATTTATATTATTGCTAACATTATTATTATTACTGGAAAATTATTATAACAAGAAGAAACAGAGAAATCATAAAAAATATATCAAAGGTTTAAATCTATTGAAACTTACTTTTAGTACGATAAACCATTACCAGTGAAGAATAAAAATTTCTCTCTCTCCCACAGTAAAAAATTTTGTTGTATTTTTCATAGTGTAACACGAGGATAACTGCCATTGCACTGAAATTATACTATCTATAACTTTTCTTTTCGAATAGCAGCAAAAATATTTAAATATTCTACATATATAAATAAACATCAGGCATTTTTCCGTCGGACAATTGTCTTTATCGGGCACTTGGCCGTCGGGCACTTAACCGTCGGGCACTTGGCCGTCGGGTTCTTGTCAGTCGGATAGTTGTCCGTCGGGCACATGGCCGTCGGGCTCTTGTCAGTCGGGGAGTTGTCCGTCGGGCACATGGCCGTCGGGCTCTTGTCAGTCGAGTAGTTCACCGCCCGGCACTTGGCCGTCGGGTTCTTGTCAGTCGGTAGTTGTCCGTCGGGCACATGGCCGTCAGGCTCTTGTCAGTCGGGGAGTTGTCCGTCGGGCACATGGCCGTCGGGCTCTTGTCAGTCGAGTAGTTCACCGCCGGGCACTTGGCCGTCGGATTCTTGTCAGTCGGGTAGTTGTCCGTCGGGCACTTGGCCGTCGGGTTCTTGTCAGTCGGGGAGTTGTCCGTCGGGCTCTTGTCAGTCGCGGAGTTGTCCGTCGGGCACTTGGCCGTCGGGCTCTTGTCAGTCGGGGAGTTGTCCGTCGGGTTCTTGTCAGTCGCGGAGTTGTCCGCCGGGCACTTGGCCGTTGGGTTCTTGTCAGTCGCGGAGTTGTCCGCCGGGCACTTGGCCGTTGGGTTCTTGTCAGTCGGGTAGTTGTCTGGATACCCTGAGTATATTTATAATCTTACTGTTTTAAATAAGAATTTTCTTAAGCTGAGTAAAAATCTCTGAAACCGTTTACTTGTGTATAATACGACCAATTTGTTTGCTGTTAATTTTCGATCAAAATTCCTCCTGTTATACACGAGAAAATACAGTGAGGTGTTTTGTTTTTATGTTTACTGTAGTGGTCACCCGAGGAAGGTCGGAAATAACATTGACAGAAACGTTGCAATAAAAATAGCAGTGATTGTGGGATTGTTTTTTAGAAATCAGTGCATATTAGTAACAATGCTTTGTCTCGGGAAATTCAAAAGAAATGACGGGTTTACAGGCATCGAAATATCGTGATCAAAAAGCAACAAGAACTGAACTATAATAATCACAATATCTTTTCACAGATATTGACAAAACAGAGACATCAGTTACTTTTTCTATTGGTCGTGTCCCTTCATAACGTTGATGATACTGGATCTCTACAGTCCCCTTTACTTTGTAGCTCTTAATAAATCTCGTCTTTTTCTTGTCTCTTTTAAACCTTGTCCCAGAATCTATTTTCGCAAGCTTACTGTGGCCAAATCGTCGTATCCGAAATATTCAGTGTAACAAACAAACATGTCGTCTAAGAAAGTCAGACATAAAGAAGGTCAGCAGTTGCAGCAGTCGAAACATTTGTATGAAGACAAAAGAAAGTGATCAGAAAGTGAAGTATAAAGAAGGTCAATATTACACTTTGCTGGAATGCTGCGATAAAAAATGTTGAAAACTGACCTAAAAGAATCAATGTATAATGTTAACATCTCGTCTCACAACTTCAGACAAAACGATTTGGAATAATTCAAAAATAAAAATTCCAACCTTTTTAGGGTCAATATCGTCAAGGTGTGTCTGGATAAATTGTACCGTAGCATTAAAATCTGATTGGTTAAACTCGTACGGAATGTTCCATCCGATTGGTCCAAACTTTCTTCTTTCCTGAACAGTCGTATGAAGAAAGGCAACGCAATAAAGCATCGGCTTCCACATGGGCAGAGTATTGATATCAAGTTGTTCCTAGAAGATAAAACAAATTCAACCGAGCAATAAATTTTACAGAGATTTCTTATAGCTTTACAATACACATAACACATCGACTTACCGGCAACTGATTTCAAACCTATACTGGATTATCCATTTTGCTTGACCAACAATAAAACACGTAATAACAATTCAATAATGTTCATCTGATTCACTAATTACGCAAATCTCGTTGTTAACTAATAGTTTAACAGACTATTATTTTTAGAGAGAATTGTATCTCAGCTGCGACTTCCGGAGATCAACTTTCGGGTTCAGATACAAACCATAATATGGGAAGTCGATTTTTATTTGCTTAGCCATCGTGGCAAAGGAGATAGGAGAGAGTTTTCAGTGAGTCGAGTCTTAACCCTCAAACAATGTAAACATGTTTTCTTTCCTGTCTGGAACTACCCGCCCCAGTGAAGGTGGGACGACCCCCATTGGATAGAACATGTCGACAAGAACGGTAATAAAATAGTTAAGTTAAAATTCTCTATGTTGAAGATGTTTTATCTCGAGACTCAAAACAACTGGCGATCACCTGCTACGAGAGAAGAAAGCAAATTTATTATCGAATCGACGACGTCGCCCAAGACCCGCCAGAATGAGGGGGCTATATAACAGTGTATCTCTACGACAGTGAATATCTACGAAATGTGCTGGCGGCATAGTGGTTATTGGTGCGGAAAGTTCCAATTCAGGTCGAGATCATTGTGTTTATTTTCGGACAGATACACTGAAGAAAGATATGAATCTATATCTTCTTCGATCTATCGGTTAAATAGTCGGCGAAAATCCTTTCTTCTATCCCTCCTATCTGATCTTGCTCTAAACTTTCTGTAACCCCTTGCATCCTAGTGGCTTCCCGCCTTGCTTGGGGTGAAATGCTTAAAAAAAAATTGGCTATCTAGCATTAGTTAGTAACCAATCAAAGAGAATTGATTCCTTATCTAAGGCTTATCAACCTTTCCAGTCAAAAGCTAAAGACAAGCTTGATTTCAAAACTGTTTAGTCGAGTGGCTAGCCACTCTACCCTGTAAAAAGCCTACTTGCTACTTGTAGTGAGACTGTGGTCATAACTCATGGAATGTGGACCCCGCCTCGCATATCTTAACTGCATCATTGACTGTTAAAATCTAATATTAAACTTGCACAACATTTGTCGTTGCCCTGTGAAATAGACAGGCGATCGCGATTGAAATGCATGCTCGTAATTTTGTCCAGATTAAAAGAGTAAAAACACCACACCATCGGTTGCCGGAAAATCGGTTGTGAATCTGCAATGAAGTACACTAACAGTGACAAAAAAAAGAAAAGAAAAATACAACTCTTGTCATAAACTTAATATTTTTCGCATGTTTCAAACATCATAATATTATATTATTAATATTATTGCCATTTCTAAAACAAAATGCCTCCAGTTTCCAGCGTATTACTCGTCCAAACAATGCACTATCTTCTAAATATCAGGGAACTGGCCTTTTACCTGGGTTGTTAGCTACCTGGATAGAATGTTAGTTAGAGGAGCTTCTTGATTTTGTGCAATTGGCAGAATACAGCGGCCTCTCTTTTTTGAGGGGTGGACGGGCCCTACTAACATCAATTATATTTAGTTTACTTTGTGCTGATGTTTAATTTGTTTTTTGGGGTTCATTTCATCCCCTCTCATTTTAGTCATCCATAAATTTTTAATTATAAATTTTAGCATCATCAGATTTTTATGACATGGGTCGCATTTTGTAGGACCCCCTTGAGAGGATGCGGTATTATGGTGTATGGAGGATAGATTGGTGTCGGACGAGTTTGTGTGGTGAATGAGCAAATTGTAATGAGTAAATGGGTCGTGAATCAGATTAGCTAGGTATAGGATAGTTAGTGACTACCAGCCTCAAACCCTCTCCCTTTTTGACATTGTGCCCTATTTATGTTTTTTTTTATACATAATAAATTTAAATATCAGCGGCAATGGTAACAACACATGTTAGTATGGAAATATATGCTATGGATAAATAGCAGGACAGAATTTAATTGTCTAGGAAAAAGAATTAATTTAAAATTTTTTAGCTCTTGCCAATTTTGGAGCATTTATTTTTAAAAATCATCTAAAAAAATGTACAGAAATACGTAATTTCCGCATATTTTTGCTTAAAAACTGATTTCAAAACGAAGTTAAATTGACATAGTACAGTTCATCATAGTTATCAACTTGAACAACTTGCCGAGGAATCGACAAAATTCCTATAGAAGTGTAGGTGTTAAATAATAGTTCACGATATTATTTTTAGCGGCAGTGTATTTTGACTCAGGCCTTCTGAGGCAGACTTTTAATGTCAAATGGTAGACAAAATAGGGATGTCGATTTTGATTGGCTGAGCCGAACGTGGGAATGTTATAGAGATAGAAAGTGTTTTCCGAGAGTGAAATTTTACACGTCGTACACAATAGATGTGGTTATTTCGTGTATCGGGGAACTTTCCCCAGTATGGGTGGGGCAGCAACCCCACTGACTTGTTAAAAATTGTACAGGTGTAAGTGTTTAATAAAACATAATTTAAAATTTCTTTTTTTTGAAGTTCTCATTTTACCTCCGAACAAATCAAGTGGCGATCACCCGGCCGAAAGAGAAGACAGCTTTTTTATGATCGCCTCAAGACCTTCGCCCCAAAACTACCCCCGGCGCAAAGGAACTATACAACATAGAACCGCCCCCTTCCAAAAGAGAAACTACCCCATGAGTGGATATTTGCCAAGTATAATATTAACCAGACTAGAGTCTATCATCTTGATGTAAAACAAACAAATGTTCATTTTTTTTTTTACTCTCGATGGATGGAAGCTTGGATTGATTAATCGGAGAGACAAGTTCGAATTACATTCACTTATGTGCTAATCATATTTATTATAAAAAATCAGGTTGTGTGTGTGTGTGTGTGTGTGTGTGTGTGTACGTTTATATATTGGATCGGATTTCCTACATTTTTCAACCGATTTCAACAAAACTTCACAAGACTACGTAAAATTACCTTGCGGTGGTTCTGACAGTGCCAAAATTTGGAAAACCACAATTGTTTTTGCACAAAATCAATTTGAAAACACGATTAAGAGGCATCACGAGAACGAAAGTGGGACAACTCATATCGAGTTATACTTATTATAAAACCCAGGTTGTGTGTATGTGTGTTCGTTTATATATGGGATCGGATTTCCTACATTTTTCAACAGATTTCAACAAAACTTCACTTTCTTTTTTTTGGCAGGTAGTGTTTCTTATTGTCTTGCACATTATTTTATTTATTTTTGCATTCAGAATGCTTTAAAAATTCCATTTACAAGACAATTGTTTATAATAAAATTCTATTCAATCGGTAGACTCATAACGATTGAAAACAATGATTGATTTTGGGTTTGACCAATTCGTAAAAAAAAAAAAAATAATAATAATTCAGACATGCGTGTCCGTCAACCTTAAACAATAACCTTTGTCAATTTTATTTTTCAGTCTTTATGATAGTCGATACTTGATCTATCTCTTACTGTTACATCCCCGGGCAACGCCGGGCTGTACGGCTAGAACCTAATACATAGCAGGACAGACATTATTTTCTAGGAGAAGGAGAAAAAATTAATTTAAAAACTGGAGAGACTTGCGCTCCGTCTGGTTACCTTTCCCAGGAAATGGTATTGTGACAGTAACGCAGGTTCATTATTTTTATTTCTTTCCGAAAACCAATATTGCACTCAGTGCAAAAGCTGTGGTTTTCTGTTTACATTCCTAACTTTTACCCATGGCTGAGCATTTAGTTTTAAAAATCATCTGAAAAAATACCTAATTTCTGCATGTTTTTCCTAAAAAACTGACTACAAAATTTTACTATTTCAATCTTTTGTATGAATTAAAACTCGACCCTAACATTAATAATTACGACCCATTAATCTTCATACTACCCGGTATTCTCAAGCGTTCACCCATCTAGGTACTGACCAGGCTCGACTGTGCTTAACTTTGTTGATTGTACGGAAGCCGGTGTTTCAACGTGATACGGGCGTAAGCCTTGTTAAAATCACAAAAGGAGGCTCTTTGTCATTGCTGTAAAAAAGGTTTCCTTCGGGACAATTCCAAAGAATGTCCTTCATAAAAAATAAAAGCTCTTTAAGATCAACACAAAATGAATTCTCCCGATAACCACTACACAAATTGATTTCGGTCATTTTTACAAAGAAATGGAATGCTCTTTGTCATCCCTTAAAATAATGGTAAATACGTTTTACTAAAATGGAGTTTTTCCCCATTGTAGCAAAAATGACTTAAAATATAAAAAAAAGTAAAGAAAACGCTCCCTTTTCATTGTTAATAAAAAAGAATAAAACCAAGAAAAATACAAAGAAATTGTTCTGCATTTCTGTGGTGGTGTTCAACATAGACTCTAGAGTCTATGTTGGACTCTTCCGCCGACTAAAAGATTAGTAGGAGAGAAGGCCGTGGAGGAAAAGTCGCATAGATTGCTCATTACTGTCAAACTCTCTCCCTCGGCAGAGAGGAATCCGGATGAAGCTTTGCCGCAGGGCAAGGTTTCGTCCGGGGAGGTCGACAGTCCTTGAATTCATTTATGCGGGTTCTAAGGAAATATTTTTAGCCGTGCCTACGGGCTCGGAGAACCCACGGTAAACTTGGCTTTGTGCCACATACATCCCTCGTTTCTGTTAAATATTAACAGTCTAATAGATTGTTCTACCGAGGCTATGACTTTTCGGAGCTGTTGTCGAACTCTCCGCCTTTAGGCAGAGACGAATCCGGACGAGGCTGTGCCGAAATGCAGTCTTGTCCGGGGACAGACAGAACCGAACCAGTTTATGCGGCTTTTACGGCGATTTTTGGCCGAGCCTACGGGCTCGGATGACCCACATTAAACTCGGTCTTGTGCCACATTTATCCTCGTGGCGAGGGGGGTGCGCTGCTAAATATTTACAGTCGAATAGATTGAACGCTGGGTCAACAGACACAGACTCACTAGTCATGCAATACTCTTCTGTTGTACTTACTGTTTAATATATGATATATCTGTAACAATTGTTAGTTCTTTAACCATTTATTTGGCCACAACAATTTTTTTAAAACAAAAAGTAATTTCTTGCAGTTTAGTATTAATGAAAAGTAACTATGTAGCCTTTTATTATTCCTTCTTCTGTCGTTCAGCACATTTCCTGTTCTTTGTAGGTCTTTTTTCTTTCTTTTTGCCATCTCTTCCGCCATCCATTAACTTAGGCTCTCTAGGTAGGGTGCGTCTTAATTTTCCTCTGTTACTCTGACCTTCAATCTGTCCTGTGAGTATCAAATTTTCCAAACCCTCTTTCCTCATTATGCGCTCCAGAAACCTCAACTGCCTCTTTCTGACGTTAAGCTTAAGTGTCCTTTTTTTCATTTTTTCTTTTGCTATTGTCTCTAGAACTTCGTCGTTGCTCACATTTTCATAACCCTTCTGTAGAACCACATAACTTCAAGCCTGTTCTTCATTTGTGAGGAGACTGTCAGGCCTTCCCTGTCATATAGAAGGACTTATAACAGTTCAGTACTCTTTTCATTGTTTGTAACAATATATTTTCCTGTCTCTTAATATTTTGCTTAGCTTTTGGAAGGCTTCTTTCGCTATCCCAATGCGCGTTCGTCTTCTGTTAATACGCTCCACAGATATCTAAATTGTGGCAACTTTATAATTTCTGTAATCTGTAATTTGAATGTTAGGTTCTTTCTTTTACTAACAACCATGCATTCTGTCCTCTTGCAGTTGATGTTTAGTCCTTTCTTCTCGCTTTCTTTCAGTACAATAACCCATGTTTAATTATAAAAAAAATTCTAATTCCTGGTGTGGAAATGCTAATATACCTACACGGTAACAGCTGGAGTAGGCTAGGGTCATTACCTGACGTCTAAGGCGTACCCCAAAACGCTAAGTGCCGAGAGAGCTTGAGCAATTTTTTCCACTGTATTTCAACCCCGACCTTGTGTCACATTCGGTAGCAACGCGGACGCACTGAAAAAAACACCCCTCTAATGAAGAATATATCAACTATTTACCTGCGTTATTCCGGCATATGTTCGCTTGAGTCCCGGTTTCACACCTTGGGGCGGTTCGTTGGTGAACTTAATTGACGCTTGCAGAAGATTAATTGGAAATTTGGGATGTTCCTCTGTCGTCAGCCAACAGCGGAAATCATCGTGGGTTTTATCACTATTGACAATCTATAAAAACAAGACAAAAATGTAGAACGTAAGAAAACTTTTCTCGTTTTCAAATTTCTTCTCAAAGAAAGAAATTAATGGCGTTCCCAGATTCACAGCTATACGATTTGGCGCCATCGTGGCCGGACATTTGGTTGAGAGATATTTGGCCGACGGACATTTCACCGAAAAAGTAAAAATAATGACAAGTAATACTTTAAGTATTTTAATTAGCAGTATTTTAAGGTAGAATAGGACTAATAATTGTACATTTATATATTATGAATTTATTGGTGTGGGCAATTTTTGCAGAAAATCCTTTATTACTCAGCGATTGACGTAAGGTTGTGTTTAATTTCTGATTTTTAAAAATTATTGCAGAAAAAATATCAAAAAAATTAATAAAGTTTGAGTAATCTTTCATATCGTAAAAGCTTAAGATTTTTGCTGTAGTAAAATGTTCTTTTTCTCAAAATACTTATCATCTTACAGTAATATTTAAAGTAAAATATATTATATATAGAATAGATATAAATATATGTAGCACATTACGATAAAGAGTGTGACATACATGTAAGTACGCCACTATATTTTCGGCTAAATATCCATTTGGTTAACTGTCCGTCGGCTAAATGTCCGTTTGCGAAGTGTCCCTCGGCCAAATGTACGTCGGACCATGGGCCCATCGGCCAAATATCCGAGTACTGGTAGATTGAATTGTTTCTTTACAGCTTATCAACCCTGTGCAGGTTATTTAAAGCCAGAAAATATTTATATATTCTGAGAAGAGATTTGGGTGATAATTACGATTTGTTGATAACAAATCCTACAAACTAACCCCTTAACTTGAGGGAGGAGATGTGTATTCATACCTTTTCCAAGGGTATTTGTGCCTAAGTGAATATAACGTATCTGACTCGAATTAGAACTCGGCTCACCATTACACCACCTGTACCTCCGAGCTTACAGAACCCAGCATTCCCAAATGGTCACCCAACTAGGTATTGACCATATTTGACGTTGCTTAACTCCTTGATTGTAACGATGGATTCAGTCTGGTGTATATTGTATCACTTGCTATTGTAAATCTGGATATTGCTTGTATTCAGTTATATCGTATCAAACAACAGATTGACAATCGTTCATGATTTGCTGCTATCAAAATAGTTCAAGGGCCGTGAGCCACTCAAGGTAGAGGTTACAAAGTAAGAGGCACAGATTATGCAGTGGTTTTCATCATTTTTTTCTTTTTTTACAGAATACGCCATTTTCACAATGTTATTGTAAATCTCCATTCTTTTACATATTAGTAGATGGATTATGACTTAGCCATATGAAGTTGAAACACCAGTTCCAATACGGTCTCCGGAGTTAAGTAACGTTGGGCCTGGTCAGCATCTAGATGGGTGACCGCTTAGGAATACCAGATGACGTAAGCTTTGATGTACAGGTGGTATCAAGGATAACGGCATGGAGTTGGAAATTGGAAAGTCTAGTTCCAGTTCATGTTGATTCGTTATAGTCACTTCCGCGCAAATACCATTGAGAAAGGTATGAATTCGACTCTTATTCTCCCAGCTATGGGTTAATTAGTAAGACTTGTATCACTAAATCATTATTATCCACCCCCAAGAAAAACATTCTTAAATCTTTACATAACCAGCAAAAGGGTTGATGAATCAATCAAATCAAATTTAACATGGATTAAAGAAACAAGGTGTGTTGTAGAGTAGTTTTCCCAGTGGAGGCTTGTATTTCAATAAGTCATTCTAAATTAGGTTCGATGTACAAAACGTTAGGAACTTGAAATAAGAGTTAATGACGCAGCAGTCTAGTTGTTATGGTTGATACTTCAATTCCGACATCGACTGACTCACTCAACACCACTGAGCCCAACTGGCGACCGCTACTGCTACTACTACTACTTATGTGTGGGAGAGTCTATTACAATAGAATAGGTATTATGGTATAACACAAGGAAAAGTGAAAACAGTCCCTCCTGAAACCATGATTTTCCCTCCTGGGGGAACCCCCCACCAATTTTAGAACCTCTGGTTTATAATAATATGTGGGGAAGATAAGTGTTGGCCTTAGACTTGAATACGTTAAGATTGTAGTAATTTGGAAAGTCTCCTCTTGGGAATCGGTTCCACAAAGCACCGGTTCGTGGGAAGAAGCTTCTCGACTGGAACTTCCATCTCACCAATGGAATGAGGGTGGTTTGCTGCAATGAGCGTGGCATAGAGGGTCTTAGTCATGAAGGTTAGAACTGGAAGAACTTAGGAATATAGTTCGTCTGAACATCATGGAAATAATAAAAGCAACGAGAGACTTGTGACATGGGAGAAAGGGATTACAGGGTGGGAAATAATTCATCACCCACAAGGATGTGGAGATATTCTAGCACTCTATGGAGACTGGAAACTGAAGACTTGGCAGCTCTTGTATGACAGCAGATTTTTGTATAGAATTGTCCTGATGAAGCAACATCCATTCCCTCAGTTTTTCTGGTCGTTTGGTTTTGAAAGCTTTTGGTAACTGCCTCTGCAAGTTGGCATAGTATTCTCCATTGTTAATGTGGTCCTTTTGAAGATAATCAATTGACACAATACATTTTTCATCCCCAAAAAACTTAAGCCATCACCCTCCCTGCAGATGAAATAACCTTGGCCTTCTTTCGTGAGGGGGTATATTTCCACTGTATGGGCTTCTCTCCCTCCCTCTCTCTCTCTCTCTCTCTCTCTGGTTCGAAGTAATGAACCCAACACTCATCCTGGGTAAGGAAGCGTTAAAATAAACTAGATGGGTCTGCCTCAAACAATATCAGATTTTTCCGCGATGTGATGAACATGATGCGATTTTGATCAGCTGTTAGAAGACGTATCACCCACCGAACGGAAAACTTTGTTATGACACGTTCGTAATATACTCAACTCTCAAAATAACAAAGAAGAATCTGCAATGTTATTGGTTTTGACCTGGCATCTCAGCTTCAGTCATTTTCCCACTGCCGTAATGTAGCTTCTCGGTGCATTTTCTATAAATATTTTCAGAGTAATTCTTCTCATGAACTTTCCTCTATGGTACATAGACTTTATAGATTTAAGAGCAGTACTGGATTGGCGCCGAGGTCTCATCCTTTTAAATTTGATATGGCTAGATGTAACTGTAAGTTCTATGTTAACAGTTTCTTCTCTCGCACTTTTCGTTTGTGGAATTCTCTTGTGGACTATTGCTTTCCAGTCAACTTTGGTCTTCAAAAAGTTAAATGCAATGTCAATCATAATCTTCTGTCTTATTCCTGTTCTTTTATTGTTCTCTCTCCTTAATAATGATTTTCTCATTCTTTAATTGTTTCACATTCAGAACTATGCAACTTAGTGGGTTTCTTGCTGTCTACAACCAATTTGGAAAAAAAAATAATCGTACCACGGAGAAAATGGGAGCCGTGCCAAATAAGCACTATGCTGGAAGAAGCAACTTCAGGAAATGCGTGGGCAAGTCGGAAAGAAAAGGGAAACTTTTAAATTACAAGCCAAAAAAAACACGGGGAAGCTGACGCGCGACACCCGGCATGTCCATAGGATGACGGGTAGGTAGTTGCACGCAGCATTCGACCGTTCAATCGAGCGACAGGAAGCAACGATGTCAGACGCTCTACTCAACGATTACACCATCGAGGAACAACACGGCGTAGTGTGATTTCTCTGGGAAGAGTGAATCAAACCTGCGGAAATTCATTACCGGATAATGGCACAGAATGGAGCACGCGGCATGAATCGACGAAATGTCTATGAGTGGGTAGAAAGGTTTAAAGCAGGATATATAACGGACGAAAGCCGATCTGGTCGACCATCAACATCGAACACGGAAGAACTCATCCAGACGGTGAATGCCTTGTTCAGAGAAAACGAAATAATTCATCACCCACAAGGATGTGGAGACATTCTAGCACTCTATGGAGACTGGAAACTGAAGACGAGGCAGCTCTTGTTTGATAACAGATTTGTGTATAGAATTGTCCTGATGAAACAAGAACCAGCAAAGGAGGGGCAAACGTGGGAATCAGCTATGTATCTGCATGAGCACTTATAGCATGATGACTTTGACTACCGTAACGTTTTGTAGACCGTGGATACCCAAACAAGAATGTGGGGCAGACATGGGTACCTGAGTAACAGAAAAGCTTTTTTTTACGGAAGAGATTAAGAAGATCGCTAAACGATCCACTTTTTGATTAAGCTTGTAACTTAACCGTACATGAATTTCTATTTTGTACACATGAATTTCAGATGTAGCCATGTTTAAAAACCATCTACAAACCGTCTCAAGTAATTCATCCATGAAATCTAATCCAAGATGACAGTTCTGTAAAAGGGCCCAACGTCCTTCCTGCATGGAAATCTGCAATAATTTACGGGCGTGTACATCTTGACCTTGACCCATGGAAATGGCACCACATTCTGACAAAAAATAGAGAATATATATATATATATTACGATAAATTTTCAAAATATTCTGAAGGAAAACCTTCCATATTTGTCAGTATATTGGTTGATTTGTTTTATCTACCTTTCGAAGTTTATTTAAAGGCTGAAAATATTTGGAGATAATAACCATTTACTGATACAAGCCCTGTTAATTAATCCATAGCTAGAGAAGAGGGGATATATACATTTTTAGGTGTATTTACGTGTTAAGTGAATATAACGAAACTAACGGGGATTGGAACCCGGCTCTCCGATTAACTATTCTGAGCCATTATCTATTACACCACCCGCACATACAAGCGCACATCACCTGGTATTTCCAAGCGGTAACGCATCGAGGTACTTACTGACCAGGTTAGACGTTTCTTAAGTTCGATGATCATACAGGTGACGGTGTCTTAACCCCTGTGTCTTAGTGGCTATATTGCCTTGCTAGGGATAAAATGGTTAAAAAGATATTAACTCAATCCTCTATAAATGTTACTGAATATTGATTAATGATAATTTTATAATTTTTTAAACAATCGTTTATCGATTATTGTTCTCTCTCTCGCTCGTTCTCTGTCTGTCTGTGTGTCTGTCGGTCTTTGTTTAGGACTTATCTGTCGGAAAATAATTTTCAAGATGCTTACTGATATTCTTTTTCTTGGCAAGTTTTTCAATGTTGTTGGTCGGATCGGAACCCATAGACAGGAAGCAAACCATTGGAACCTGATTGTTGGCCTCATCACACATTGCCTCCAAACTTAAAGAAACTCCCTCAGAGTACTGAAAGCAATAAATTTCAACAAATTAGATCTTTCTGATCGGCTTTTCTTCTTTCTTTTTTTTTAAATCGAAATCGCTCCAAACAAGGACATAAAGCCACTAAGACACAAGAGGTCATTGGGTGTGAAAGAAATAGAAAACAGAAACATTATTAAGGAACAAGAACAATAGAAGAGCGATCAGGAAGACAGTAGATAACGATTGGAATTGCATTTAAATTTTTATAGATCAACGTTGGCTAGAAAGCATGGGACCGAAAGATTATACCACAAGCGAAAAGTGCGAGAAAAGTAACTGTTAGCATAAAACTTTCGATTATATCTCGCCAATTCAACTGTAAATTGTGGAGACTTTTCCGCCAATCTATTACTGCGCTTAAATTCACGATATCTAGGTACCATAGCGAAGAGCTCATCTGAACAATTACCATGAAACTTCCGGCTTGCTGCACACTACTAGCGGAGCGGCCATGTTTACACTGTAACAGCAGAAGAGAAACCTGGCGTGATCAAGCTTAAATTTCAATCACGTGACCACAACAGTATCAACTATAAGCACGCATGAGCAAAAGGCAGTGTGACAAACCTGAAGATGACAAATATGGCGAAAGTGCGGACACTTTTTGACAACCTCGATGAAAAGGCACAAGGAAGCAACTTTACGGCGGTGGAAAAGTCAGTGAAGCGGCGTCGCTAAGTCAGGACCCATAATATTGCAGATTCTTCTTTGGGTGTTATCAAGGATCTCTAAATATATAACTGGAGCACCGCATATGTGGAAGCAATATTCGAAGCATGGTAGACTTATAGATATGTAAGTTAGATTCTATGGAGACAAATTGCAGTACTAGATTGGCAGAAAGGCCACATCATCTTACAGTAGAAATTGGTACATGTAGCCGTAAGTTCTATGTTAACAGTTTCTTCTCTCGTACTTCTCGATTGTGGAACGTTTTTCCGGCTTGTTGATTACAAGTCAACTTCGACATTCTAAAATTTAAATGCAATATCAATCTTTATCTACTGTCTTCTTAATTCTTGTTCTTTTATTCTCTCCTTAATAATATTTTTCTCCTTCGTAATTTTTTTGACACTTAGTAACTCCTAGCGTCTTAGTGACTTTATTGCCTTTCTTGGGGTGTAATGATTAAAATAAAAGTACTGAAAAAGAGCAAAACGA